ACGCACGGAGACGCAGATGGGGAGGGTCACGTGAATGAAACGCACAATATTAATAATTAGCTGTACGTGTATACTAACATGTAAAATACTGGTGCTAGTCAGCCCATTAGTAACTGTATGTTCAGCCAGTTTTGCCCAACCCTTCCCATCATGTCGTCCGCGTGACGTCACAGGCGCTGTGCGTCACACACCTGAGAAGCTGAGCTGCGTGGCGGCAGTGTTTCACCGTGAAAAAACGTCAAGCGCACGTTCGGGACAAGGAATCTGATCCGCTGTGTAGCAATCGTACATGGTGCCGTTCGTTCACATTCTTCAACCATGCACAACAGGAAGGAAGAGGTATCTAACCGTTTTTAACCAGATCGGTTTTTTGAAGTGATTGTTCATTCCTGGATGGATCTGAATAGAGATAAATCTGACAAGTGTTGCTCAGAACAGGAGAAAACTATTTGTCTAAAATCTGATTGGTTTCATTCTCAACTGGTGTGTGAGTCATCCTGGGTATTCTTCACTTGCCCAGTGAAGCTCAGCAGCTTATTCCTTAGGGTTACTAAATGGTTTACTAAAACGTTTGAGACACACTATCTAAAACATCAATAAACAATGTCTTTGAAGCAATCTGTGACTCGTAAGCTTTTAATGAAGCCCTTCCTCACTTGATTTTGCTCAGACCACCCCCAGTCACACGGTCAAGGCAGCTGGTTGAGAGACAAGAGGCCTAAGAATCAAGAGAGTGGGCCTGTCTGTCCACTTTGAAGAGTTTCCATTCATTTTGTTCGGTTTTGCACATGTTCTCAATTTTCCTCTGTTTTCTCTGCCCTCCTGTAAAAGAGCAGGCTGGAGGAAAGGCCACAGAGCCCATGGGCAGGTCACTCGTTTGGAGTCTGGGTTTCATTTTCTCCATCTCTGATGTTAGCATTTGGCATATCAGAAATTTCAAAACACATTTTAAAACTCCACAAAAACTCCCATCTGCTGCCTTCTTTTGCGTGTCAGTATGACAGCGACTACACTTGATGTTTATTAATGTTTATTTTCGCTTGTACATTTGTTAAAAACCCTGCTGATTTCTAGCAGCTGTACAATGGAATTAAGAGGCAGTGTCATTTTCTCTTTATTGTCTTCACATCTTGCATGTCGGACAGATCTATATACAATAGCAGCAGTGTCTCCACCGCAGTTCAGAACACCAGACAGGTTACAGACAAGAGGAGGCCTTTCAAACTCTCCAGCCCGTTTGGTAGTTAGCAGCTAATTGATCCCAGGATCCCAGTCTTTTGCTGAAAGAAGCCAGGGTATCAGCTTCCACAACATGACTGGACAGCCTGTTTCGGACTCCCTCAATGATCTTCATGAAGGGCTGCCTCCTGTTCTCAGGCTTAAATGCACTTTAACACAGTTTCAACTTCTGTCCTCTGGTTTGTGTTTTACTGATCAAGGAACTGTTAATTCAGCAGTGGTGCTGATATAAGGCAACTAGATAGCCCAAAATGGGATGCAGGGCATCTATAGATGAAAGCAGTGGTTCTAAAAATCCGTCACCTTTTATTTGGCCTGTTATAAAGTGTTTTGGTTAAACCGTTTAGTCACTGCTTGGGATCTCCAGTTTTAAGCGTGACCTCATCAATCTTGCTCAGAGAGCAATCTTGCTTAGAGAACAGCTAATGTTCCCCCTTCCTGCTGCCCTCTGACCCGGAGCAGAAGATTGCGATGTGAAACCACAGCCCCGAGGACAGGATACACCTTCTCTGGTCTGACTGGCGCCCCGGCATGCTGGTTCAGCAGGAATTCTTGAGTGTCAGAGAGACTTGCAAGCTTGATTTTCCAGTTTATGGAAGAGAAATAAACATTTACCCCAGGTGGAGGACTTGATAACAGGTGTGCAAGATAATGGTTTCATTTCTAAATAAAAAACAAACAACACTATTTTCCCAGAGGCTTTAGAAGGTTTAGTAACCCCAGGAGGCCTCAGAGGTTTATTGACGGTGTACACAGAAATCAAACGGAGACTTTTTTGCCCCCATTAGCAGTGGATCTGCTATGACAGTACTTACAAAAGAATTGCAGACCTACAATTCTTTTTTAATGTTCATTAAATAGCAGTGCTATTGTTTATAATAGCTTAGCTGTAGTCTTCCATTTTAATTTAGACTAGGGGGTCTTTACTGAGAGGGAAAAGGGATTCGCCAGCCAGCCAAAAATTGACAACACCAGTTTTAAAAAATGCTATACCGTTTACATGTTGTATGTTTGAGTTGTTCGCTTGGCAAACATAGTTTTGCTTTGGAGCCTCGGACATTTATTTGTTCTAAACATTGTCCCGTGTTCTGTTTCTTAGGGTCTACTCACAGAAGCTGAACTATACAAATTCTTCTGAACATATTTGTGTCTCCACGGCTTCAAAACAGCAGGGCCTACTTGTGTCGACTGCCAGTAGTCTGTTTGTGGTTTCCCTGCACTAGACTTCATTACAGCTTCTGGGTGGCAGGGCATCCGGAGCAGAAAAACAGGGGGATGACCAGGGATGCTGTGCACAACCACTGCCCGCTGCTTTCTAGGCTGCGTCACGTTCATGTTGGCTGCAGGATCCGCTCGCGTGGAAGGCCTGTTTGACATTGCTCCTCTTCTGCAGCGAGGGCATGGGGCCTGGCTCATCCTCGGCCTTTAAACACCCCTATCCCAGTGACTCTGAGCACAGAAAACCGCATCCCCTCTTATTAACTGAATGACATAAACCGCAGTGTGTTTGTGTGTTTGTGTGCTTGTGTGTGTGTGTGTGAGCCCTGTGATGGACACCAGTCCACCAGTTCACCAGTCCAGGGTGGATTCCGCCTTGTCCCCCTGGCTTGCCTGGTTACGTTCTGGCCTTTGAAACCCCACAAACAATATACAACAAATCCCTTTGAAACAACACATTATGCATTTTGTAGTACCGTTTGTTTTTTTAGCTGCCTGTGCGCTTTTCTTATATTCTCATTGGAAGCCCCAGGCCTGCAGGATTCAGTTCAGAGCATTCTTTTGTACTCAACTCCAAACCGACTGCAATGTAGCAGAACAGTGACTCAGCCCAGGCTTAGCAAGAGTTTTCTCTTTACAAGATGGTTCCAGTGTGTCTCAGGGCTGAAAGTTTTCCTTCTCCAGCTTAGTTTGACCAGTTTAAGGGACACACAGCGAAAAGGTAATTATCACAAAATGAGAAATCAGAAAAAATCCTAATTACAGGCAATGCCATCACAGATTTGTTTGTTGAAACCTTTAAATGTAACTGCGTTTGGAACAGAGGGAAAACTCTACATTTTCCTAAGTAACCAGCTGGATGTTAAAGGTGGTCCACGTATGTCTGTGTCTGTGTTTATGAGTCTCAGTGTCTCGTGACTGGCAATAGCAAACGTATTTCTATGCTTAAAAAATTACTCCATTTTTAACTTCGACTTAAGAAATCCACTTACCTGAAGCAGTAAGCGAAATCCTCTTCCAGTCCTCTTCAGGAGCCATGTGTTCTCCTCTGTCTATGCAGGACTCCCAACACTATTTAGCAGCTGATTCACAACTCCAGGTAGAGACTGTTGCAATACGGTGGTGCTGGGAGTGCCAAATGAAAACAAGAAGCTCAAATGTCCAGCATCTGAATTTGTCTGTCACTTAACAGAATGGGTATATGAGTTCCAGAGTCTCATTTCACACAATCAGCCTATACATAAGTACACTGTTGTGTGAAAAACTATTTGAATGGCAGGTTACTGTAGGTTATTGTACTGTAAGTGAGGTGCCGGGCAATGTTCCATACAGAGATTGCATGAAAGGTGCTTGCTATGGAATAGATGTTGAAGGTTCGAGCTAGGGTTCATGTGACCATCCAACCGTGCTTGGGGTTCTCCGGGTGTCTCCAGGGGTAGGTTTGGGACCAGGTGTCAAGGGGTCTTTTAGACCCCTCTTAGGAGTCTGCAGGGTTGCGGCGAAGGCATTAAGAGACAGCCCACAGTCGGCGCCAACTCTGCTGTCAGGTCTACAGGATGAAGGCCTGATCAGTGGTCAGGTCTGAGGAGCCTGTCTGCGTTCCCTCATTGTCCCTATGCAGGGCGGGCATCAGTCAGCCCACATGCAAAGAAACAATCGGGGATTCCAAGAAAGGGTTTTAAAAATACTCCGGCGCTCTGTGGAACAACGCAGAGCACCAGAAAGCTGAAATCTATTACTGCGGGGCTGAAGAAAAACAAGAAAATGTTTTTGAACATTCCCCCCAAAATGGTGGAAAAATTAAGACCATAACGTGTGCTGGAGTTATTCAAAGAATTGTTTCTGAACAATGAGATGGGCTCAGTGATGTTGCTCCCAATGTAAATTAAAAACGACAACATTTGTGGTTTCGGATGATCCTCACTGTGATTTCAATACAGCGCGTGAGAAAGCCTTTGCATCTTAAAAGTGAACTCTATTAACCCACAAATTGAGGTCTCAACAGGACAATGAAAGTTATGATTAAAAAAGACTCACTGAAACTACGACAGACCATTTCAGTTTAAAGAGACGTCCCATATGTCTTCAGAGGACGTAGCTATTTTGAAAGGAAAAATCACCATCTGATCTTTTTCAGTTTCTTTATTTGCAGTACATAACTTGCATTAACTATACTCGGTCAAAATATAAATTTTCAAATCAAATAAATTATACATAAAATATACACAACAAAAACTTTAAACTCCCTACTTTAACTCCCTAGTCTGTTAAACACTACAGAAACCAGGGTGAGCTCTGGCCTGATGAGCCACTGTGGCTTAGGTGTGGGCTTTGCCTTTGCCTCAATCCATTAGTTTAGGACAGGCTGGTATCCTGTCCTGCATGCTGTGTGCAAACATGGGTCTTTCTTGTGTTTGTGTGGGTTACTGCCAAGTGCTTTGTCTTCCCCCACCTCTAAGAGACACCTGCAGTGGCTACTCTGCACTGGTAATACATACTGTATAAGATTTATAGTTCAAAGTAACACATGTGGGAAGTACAAATGATTAACATAAAGATTAGTCTGTGTTGAATCCCCACCAAAAAGAAAATGAGATAAAAGTTTGTTCACTTATAGCTTTAGAGTGCTGTCTAAAGGTTAACGTGATGTTTGAAGAGAAAAGAGTTTGAATATTAACTTGATGTTTAAAAAGAGGTCAATTTTGAGCTGGGACAAAGAGCTTAAAGGTTTTGTTCACATGTTAAGTCTCTTGGCTGCCCTTCAATAGAAAGGTCAGCACAGGGGACAAGTACATTTAGCTAAAAAAGAACATGAGGTAAAAGTAAGAAGACTATTCAGAAGTGACATTTTCGGCACAGAAGTGCCGGGAAAACTAAATAGAAGAGTCGGTGATATTCTGAAGCCAATTCACTGACATCCATCCAGAAAAGCTGAAAAGCAGATTTTTATCTAACAAATGAGCAAGATAGTTGGAATGACCTTCTCCAGTTTGTAGCATTTCATGTGGTCATTTTTCTCATCAGCGACAGCAAACTGTGGTGATTATTATTATTCTGTGATATTGAGAAACCTTTTTTTGTAGACAGCCTTTGCAGAGCTCTCAGAGCTTGTAAGACTTTCAGCCTGTGGTTCTGTAGGTTTTCAGATCAAGAAGGATGAAAGAGAAATGTGTTCTATCACTTATGCAATTCTGGTTAAACTCCGGCAACACTGATCACCACAGACATGACACAGTCATTTCATAGAAAATACATGGGAAATCATGGCAGACGATACATTTGTACACTTCTAGATTCAAAAAGTATTGTTAAGCCGAATCTTTCAAGTGAATGTATTGTCTGGCTGGATAGGTAGAGGGGGTTTTTCCTATGATTGACACCAGAAGTGCCCTACCTATGCTAGCAGCTAAGGCTCCAATAAAAGCTTTTGTGTTCAAACAAAGTGATAGCTATTTTAGATTTCTTTTTTTTTCAGGGGCCTACAAAAGAGAACAAAGTCCAATAAGGCAGAAATAGGCCTGGGTTCATCCTATCAATTAAGAGCTTTCCTAACACACGGAGGCACTGTTACAAGAGGAACTGCCTGCAGCAGTCAACAAGGCAAATTTCATATCCCTGGCTCATTATCTGCCTTTCCTGTCTGGCTGGTTTAATCACCCGGTAATAACTTCCAGAGATCACCTTGATGAGGTACGTGCTGGCACAGGCCAGAGTGTGTCACCACATGCTGTCTCGCCAGCGAAAACACTGGCCCCACAGAAGTCAGAAACAGTGAAAGCTAATCCCTCAACAGTGGTTGCAGTTGGCCCTGAGGAGCAACAGGACTGTCTGTCAGTTCGGATCAGTTATTTCAGAAGAGAGGGAGACAAGGCACATTGCTGGCGATTGCAAAAGCCTCTTCCTAACCAGCAGCAGAATTAAGCTATCCAAAGTGAACTGCTCTTTAACCTGTAGGCCTTTTCTTTGTTTCCCTGGTTTTGTTGAGAAAAGAAACGTCTGCAGCCCGTGGGAGTGATTTACCTGCAGAAGCTCCCCAAATGTGCAGTCACTGTTCATTTCTCTTTACAATGTGTACGCCCACCGAGCAAACACTCTGAGAGCTGGAGCTCAGCCGTGAGAGCATGCTCACTGGTTTACAGGACCCAGCCAAAGCCGTACAGCGAGGATGATCTCACGATGTGGGCTAAACTTCTTTTGCGTTGAGAAAGACGCACAATATTTTTGGGGAACATTACAATAATTCCAAGTTGGGGTCTGTTTGCCAAAAGTCACTGACAGTCATTTTTTATCTAAGTTGCTGGAGGCAGGAGTGGGGAGGCATGACTCTGTCACCCCAAACTTTCACAGTACACAAGCTAACAGATCCCAAAGTTCCTGTTATCTTGGGGAAACAAGCAAGCCATGGGACTCACAAATGGAATAATGGGATGTAAATTTTATGTGTCATAATGTGTTATGTGTTTATGTGTCAAGTGTTTCTTTCTCCTCAGCATTCTGGAGGCAGAATAACACACGTTTATTTATTCTTAATACATTCCACACAGACTTCTTTTTAATACAATCACATTCAGACACAATGTGATAACAGCTAGCAGCCATATCACCCTGCAACTCTCAAATGACAACCCACCAAAAGCTCAGCAGGTGTGAGCCTGGTTACTGCTGGAAGAGTTGTTAGTGGGGGCAGTAGGGGGCACTCAACCTGCAGTCTGGGTGCGTCTTAATGCCCCAGTACAGTGACGGAGACACTATATTGTAAAAAGGCGCTGTCCTTTGGACAAGATGTTAAACCAAGGTACTGACTCTCTGTGGTCATTACAAATCCCAGGATGTTTCTTGAAAAAAGTAGGAGTGTTACCCCAGTGTCCTGGCCAAATCATGGCTTCTTAGTAATTCCCATCTCTCAACTGGCTTCATCACTCTGCTCTCCTCCCCACTGATAGCTGGTGTGTGGGGAGCATTCTGATACACTATGGCTGCCGTCGCATCATCAAGGTGGGTGCTGCTCACTGGTGGTGGTGGAGGGGAGTCCCCGTTACCTGTAAAGCACTATGAGTGGAGTGTCCAGACAAGCTCTACATAAGTGTAAGGAATTATTATTATTAAAATGGCCCTTCCTGGTAAGAGGTTCCTCGCAATTACCACTGTAACTGAATCTTCCTGAGTGGACCTGCCTCTCCTAAAGGACTGCTCTTCCCCTTTCCCTGCTGCACAGGGTCACAACTGATTGAACCCACGGTCTGAGGGCCCAATGATTGTTCAGACCTGTCAACGGTCACAAAATGGACTTACCTTGCCCTCTGGTGGCCGTTCTTTGTAACCACACACCCTGTGTGTTTAGCGGATAGGATATTATAGCGTTAATTTGAGGCGTTTTCATGCCCCAGAATTCTCCTAGTTTCATGTTTACCTTGTAATGTCATTCTCAAGGATTAGGTCCAATGTGCAGCATATTAGGTACAACATAGAGGAGCCACCTTTTTAGTTGTATGTTTAGTGCAGTAATATCCTGCTCTGCATAATGAACAGCAAAGGAAATGCACGAATTTGGAGCATGTGAATTTCAGCCAGGCGTTTTGTATTATCAAATAACGCACTGTTTAGTGTAACAGTTCTTAGGGTTTCCGCCCTTGCTGCTCCTGCCCTGCCAGTTCGTCCGTCACTGCCTGGGCGCGAACCCGGGTCTCCAGCGGCACGTAACAGGGAACTTGCCAGCTGAGCTAAAGGAGAACTCCCCCAGCCCAGGCAGCTGAGATCCCTGTTATACCCAGTCAGCCCCTGCCCTGCTGCTGCCAGGTACTTGCTTGCTCGTCTGCTTGGTGGAAGTGCCGAGAGATGCTTGAGCTAACCTTATGTCACTCCCCCTTGCATTGAGCTTCATGTGCAGGTAAACGGTCCCACCCCCAAGAATCTGAAAATCACCATTTGCAAGGACACAGCAAGAAGACAGCTACTCGCATCTTCCCTGAGAAGCACAATAATCAAGGATAGTGAGGATTCTTCATCAGGGTCCTCTCAGATGAGGAGTATCATGTATCATGTGGGTCTCAAACTAGTTAAGGTCTTTCAGCCAAAGGGCCAGTCCCCATGGTTGGTCCTTCAGTTCCCTCCAGCCCCCAGAACAACTCTCAGCTCATTGACAGGGCTCCATGAAAAACAAGCGTTCTACTTCACAGCTTCCAAGCGTGAGTCCATGAATGAAACATGAAGCAGCAGAGATATGGGCAGCCTAGAAACACCCCAGTCCCTTGCAAAGCAGAGCTGCCCCTGCCATGCTTGTTAATCCCACTACCTATACCACAGTACAGGATATCCCACTACCCACACCACAGTGCAGGATTTCCAGTCAAGGGCTGAAAGTTGTGCCACTTCTATCACGTCCCCAGCCCAGACATCCTAAAAGGTGGTGTAAAATTCCTTTGGCTGCCCATGCATGCATCTTGCCATTTCCACGGATCACTGCTCTGCCCTCACTGACAGGTCTTATCAAATGATAGGTGCCCCCTGCTCCTCCCTCACCTGGGGGCCTCCAGGCCTCCAGTCTTTCCAGGAGAGAAATCTTCACCTCCTCCACATCTTCGTAAATAATTGATCCTGAAACCTCATGGCCCCATCACGTCGTCATCCTACTCCATCTACCCACTCAGCCTCTTTATCATCTTTCTTCTCCATGTCCCTTTATCTCCTTAAAAGCATATCGTGCACATCTCAAAAAATGCACATTCACTAGTAAGTTGATTTATACAAATTCTTCTATAGCGGAAAGAAATGTTCACATCAGTATCAAAGTAATATATAATTAAATAATATATTGGGGCTAATAATTCTCTCCTCTAGTTGCTTATTAATATATACTGTGAATGTTCCGAGGAGAAGTTAAGGATTAATGGGTTAGTGGTAGAATATAAGCAGACTTCTATCGCTCTGTAACCTGTTAAATCTCTTCTTCACGTAACTGTCTCTCCAGAAATACAAGGTAAATATTCTTGAGCTTTATTTATCAAGTAGTCTTTTTTTCAGTCATTTTTCATTGTGTCTTTTGAAAGTGGAAGTCTTTAGATTACATTGTTAAACATGTTTGGTTTAAAAAAAAATGAGTAAGACAATAACTACCAAGGTGACATTTGTCATTTATTTCACTTTAAATAGAAACTCACATTACAGAGCAAATTATACAGAAAAGGAAGACTGTAAAGCGAGACAGTTTTATTACTAGAGTGAAAATTCATGGATATGAAGTCCTGACGGGATGCTTATAAAGATACTTAGTCTGTGCCAGCAGCCTAAGCAGTGGAACAATGAAATGTAAATGTGCACTGGGGAGCATATTCATGTGGACATTGGTGGTCCTGTTTGACTACCAGTTGCAGTGGGGCTGACAAAATCAACAAAAATCATGATACTTTAACTCTAATACTAGCCTACAACAAAATACAGTCTCAAAGAAAATTGTAATTTATCCCATTAAAGCAATAACTCCTTCTAACTTTAATTAGAAGCCTTGTAAAAGTATCTTGTGTAGGAATATCTTAATTGAAGTGAAATTTATCTATAATGTGACATCCCATCTCTGCGCAGAAATTCTGTCAAACGCCATAGTCACTCACTATAAAATCAAGCACTCATTATGCACTTTAATAGTTTGCTCGTCATGTCTGCCTTTACAGAGACTCCTGTCACCACAGACACTGTGTTTACTATAGACCTATGCCAAACTTCCAAGTGTAGAAATGAACACTCATCCTTTGAATAACTGTCATTAGATTTTGGATCATGATGTTGGGTGACTTCAACAACCGTTAACATAAAGGGAGGCTTGCAAGCCAAGGTTTTCTTTCTGTCTCTTCTTGACTCCTTAGGATTTACTCAACACGTACTGTATCAGAACTCACCCCTTCCAAAACACTCATCCTTGAATTAGTTATTACCAGTGTTGTGAAAGTTCAAAACTTTATAATTGTTAATAACCTCCAAGTTATTATGTTCATTCACTCATTACCTTTGAGGTTGTAGACCTTAGCTCAATCAGCCATCAGAAGTTGACAGATAAATCCCACAGATATGACCAGATTTAATGGCATTGCCAGTACAAATCTCAGGTGTTTAGAGATTACAGATGCAGATATATGCCATTATTCATAAAATGTATGGAATGGTCAAAAATATTTGTTTTAAATGCCAAACACGTTTTTAAAATGCTACCATCTTAAGGTATGCAGAAATTTACTAGCTGCAAGTGGGGAAGTATATTAAAACCTGATAAAGATCAAGATAAAGCAAGTGAGTTGAGTTGACAGCTGGTTTTCCACGCTGATGAGAATAGGTGGCGATGTGGTCCAGGATTCTCTTACTTTTCCACAGAAGAAAAAACGTGTAAGAGCGAGGCAGAGGACAGGTGACGCAGTGGCTGAAATTCAGAGGAAGCTTTCCGAGAGAGAGAGGAGCAGAGGAAAGCTGATGGAGTCGAGGGAGAGAGAGAAATAGAGGACTGAGCAGGAGAAGGAAGGAGATAAGAGATGAACTTGAGGCCATTTTTGAGTGTGAGGTGACATTAAGAAATGAGGTTGGATATGTGTAGAGAAGCCTAATGTTCCTCTGCAGGAGAGAGCCTGAATTCCATTTCAGTTCAGGAGCACAAACACAGATGTCAAGGAGCTGATGACCTCCAACAATTAAGTACCATCTTCCATTATTAAACAGAAGTACTTCAAATGCAAATTCCATCTTCAAGCGTAATTATGCTTGGACATGATCACGGACATCACGGATGAGTGTGGACATCTAGAAGGAACTAGTGTGGGGAAAAAAAAGCTGAATTATAAAACAATGTAATATGTCTTTGTGAATTATTTGACCGAAAAAGCATACATTTTTATCTATGGCAGATATCTTCATGGCAAAATAAAAATAGACAACAAGATTTTTCTAAACAGCATCTAATTAACTCCCATGTCAAATGGGAATGATTGAATGAGAAAGAAACAGAATGTTATGACAGTCTTATTAGTATTATGATTTGTAACTGTCCCCTCTTCTGTGACAAAGAAAAACAGGTGTTTTGTGCTTTAGTTTTATTGGGTATCAGCTTGTACTGGAAGCCTGTCTTCATTCACACTTCACAGAAATAGTTACAGGAAGGCTGAGTCTCATTAATTGGTCATTCCAAAGTGGTTGGGTGTATAATCAGAAATAATTCATTAAAATTAAACAATGATTTTATACAAAATGAAAACATGTATAAGGAATAGAGTATCACCATTCTACATTCCTCTTGTTTTTCCATATTAAACAAGAATAAAAAAGGAACTATGAACTGTCAGAGCAAACTTTCAAACTCATTTATATACACAAGTCCATGTATGATCCAATCTTTTTGTTAGATTTAGGTAAATCAGTAGAATTCGTATGTGCAGTTTACAAATATTTAGGATTATTTTATAACCTTTGTCAGTAAGTATAGTTTAATGATTTGCATTTCATTTTTTTTACGTGATTAATGCTGCAAGCTGAATGGTACCAATACTCGTCCGTGATCCTATGAGGCACTGCCTGTTTGTCCACATCAATCATGTGAGGAACAATGTTTTCATTAATAATGAATAAAAGACCTTTAAGTGATACTACCACAGTCAAGTTTCATTAAGTCTTACTGCCTCAGGGTCACTATGTGAAACAGGTGAAGCTGTCACACTGTGGCACATAGGAGGTGTTCAGTGACAAAGAGACAGCTATCAGAGATGTTCCTGGATTTCTTTGTCAGAAACCATAAAGGAATTAAAATATCCAGAAATACTGTATTTATCATATGGCACTAAAGTGAGTAGGTGACTGAAGTTATACACACAAAATGGTGTCCAACAACACCAAGTAGAAACTTGGCCTTTTATTTTTTTAAAAACCAAGATAATCTGTTGAGGAAATGTGAGAAATAACTTTTGCTCATAATTACCATTACCATTATGAGTAAAACCAAAGATTATAAAATGCTCTACACGTGAAAGAGCCTTTCAAGTATATTTTAAAGTGGGGGAAAATCGCATTAACAGAATTATTGAACAGCTGGATTTGGCTTCGAATTTACATTTGTTAATCGGAAAATACTTCAAACCACCAATTCCCTCCCCCGCCGTCAAGCTCATCAGTGAAGCGGTGATAGATTAAAGACGCCTTGAAGTTTACATTCACTGACTTCAGTTTCAACACTGCGCAACGTCAGCCGTTTAAACTGCTGTTAATACTAAGCAAGTGTCTGGTATTTACATTCTGCAAAAACGGTAAGAACCTTTCGCATTTTAACTTTTCACATATCAAAAGAGCAATAAGGCTAATGATTCTCTCATCTGGTTACCTTTGTTAATGCTGTGAAAAGAAGTTGAAACTCATCGTGGAAGTGGTAGAATATAACCAGACCTGAATCGCTCTGTAACTTGTTAAAGCTCTTTTCACGTAATAGCGAAGCTACAATCTCCCGGGACACAAGAAGGCTTCACAGCCGAAACATTGTGTTTTCTGTCTTCTCTTTTCAGCATGGAATAAAACTATTGTTCCTTTGCATTCTTAAGCATGACATGGGTTTAATGGACACACAGTCCTTAAGAGCTCTGTGCCGGGAAAGTATATTCAGTACAGAGGTACTTCAGCCGTTCAGTGGCCACAATCGCTATACATGGTGTTGTCTTGTCCATGCTCCTGTTGCTATATGGACCTAATTCCAGTTGTCTAGACTAGCCTAGCAAACCTTATACCAGGCAGCCTATACACTACCTGTCAGTTTTCTGCAAAAAGGCAGGTCTTAAGGAAAAGGCAATGTTTTACTTGTGTCATGCTGAAGCACTGCATGCTTATGAAAATCCAGTACCCATTTCGCTTGAAGAAGCTCTTGCTCATTTGTAGTCTTGCAAGAATAACAGCATGTTCCTTTTACAGTATATCCAGGTGATGGAAAAGCCTTACATCTTAGCCACTGCTCCTGGTCATGCTGATGGGATCCATAAGCGCTTTGAAACCATTGTGGAGAAGCACTTCACCCTCGTCTCCTCTGGCGAGTTCACCAAGAGCAGAGAGCGCTTTGCAGACAAGATCCAAGCAGTGTTCATGTGGAATGCTCTACCTGAGATCGACAGGGATCTCCTGCGCTCCCTACCTAACCTGAAGGTGGTGGTCAATGGAGGGGTAGGGGTTGACCATCTTGACATCCCTCTCATCAACAGCTTTGGGGTAAAAGTGACCAACACCCCACATATTGTTGATAATGCTACTGCGGACTTAGGCATGGCCTTGATGCTGGCATCAGCCCGCAAGCTTATAGAGGGTAACTTTCCTCCTTCTGTGACTCTTTCAGAATTTTCACTATGTTCAGTGGTATAATTGCTTCTTCTGTTGGTTTTGCTAGCTAGGTTGAATGCTGTGTCTCAGTTTGCAGGGCTTAAAGCTGTGAGGCAGGGAAGAAGTTCCCTGTGATCAGACAGACTTTACCTTATATCCAAAACTGTGGCTTTGAGGCACTTAAGTTTAATTTTAGTTACTTTTTAGTTTTAATTTTAGTTTACTTTACTTCAGTATTAGTTAGTAGATGAACAACAGAAAATAATGTTTATTTTTACCATCATAATGATATCAGTGTTTGCTTCCCAAATTATCTGCAATCATTTTTTTCTTAATTTAAACAATTTCTGAAACCAAACATAAGGCAGTTTTCTGCCACAGTTTCTACTTATCCCATTGGAAAATTTTGTTGAGTTTCATTTGTATAAGGAATGAACTATTTTTTGGGCCACAGGAATCTTTGCTTTTTTTATTCTTGGCATATAGTTACCTAATTTCTCTTATTTTAAAATTGGACCCTCAAATATCACAGTCAACCAGCCCTGTGTAAAACTAAAACACTTCAGTTTACATAGACATTTGAGGAGAAAGGTGGGTCTTTCTTCATCAATCTTGCATCACTTACATTATGTCAGGTCATTTATAGTAATCACCTGCTGTAAAAGAATGATGAAAATGCTTCCCAGAAGAAAAAAACTTTGTCAATTTAGGTGTGCATCCAACATATGGTATCCATCTCCATCGTCTACTGTAACTTAAGTAGAAGTTTTTTATATCAACTTCTCTTTTGTTGTGACTGATTACCTGAACTCCTCTGCTGTGTAGGCAGCTTGACCTGTATCTAAATGGGGCCAGGAGGTCAGTGGCACAGCTATGTTGCTAGAACATGTGTTGTTGCAGTTTACTATAAACCTTCATGTGAATGGTTTTGGCACTTGATGCTCTGTTTTGTGTTTTGGTCTTTATGACATGACGTAGTGTTCTATGGTATGGTTTTGTGGTGACGTGATATTGTGTTTCGGCAGGTTACACATTTTCTCTTTACCACGAGACAAAGCATCTCCCAAAGGTTGCCCTCGGCATCGATGTTAGCGGTGCTACTCTCGGCATCATTGGAATGGGCAGGATTGGATATAAGGTTGCTCAAAGAGCTCACGGATTTGAAATGAAAATCTTATATCACAACCGCAGTCGGAGGTACAAGTACATACAAATACATCAGTGCATCATCCAGGCTGCAATCACATACAGCACCACCTTCATTATACCAGACTAATAGGGGGGAAGGTGTGCCCATTGTTGCCAAATGTCCATTAAATAACTGATCCATTTTCAAATGAAATTCCCATTTTAATTTGTGGCAATCTTAGATCCCACTTTGCATTCTTAGCAGACGTTACAGGCCTCTCCACCTCACTAGCTGCAGTGATAACATCATGATGCTGGGTGACTTCAATATATTGTACACAAGGGAGGCTTGCAAGTCAAGAGGTTTCTGTCTCTTCTTGACTGCTTAGCATTTACTAAACATCTATATGACCCCACCCTTTAATTAGTTAATACTAGTGGTGTGAAAATTCAAAAGTTTATATTTGTTAATAAGCTCCAACTCTTTATATTCAATCACACATTCCCTTTGTAGAGCGATTTTGAACCTTGACGGATAAACTCTTCAGTTGTAACTAGATTTAATGGTATTGCAAGTACAAATCTCAGTGGTTCAGGGATTGTAGAAGAAGAGTAAAGTATTAGTCATTCGTATTAATAAAATCATTAATAATAAAGTAATGTCTAATGTTTAATGCCTACATACCATTCAAAGGAGGCTGTTTTTGAATGTGAGATGACATCAGGAAAGGATGTTAGATAAGAGAAATGAAACATTTTATTTCAGGTACAAAAATACAGTAGTTAATGAGTATTCAAGCTCTAATAACAAAGTACCATCTTCCATAATTAAACAGCAGTACTGTATTGAGTATTGCCCTCTGTGTCTGTCACTGAGAGTTGTCTCCACGCAGGAAAGTAGAGGAGGAGAGAGCTGTGGAAGCGCATTACTGTGAGAAGATGGACGAGCTGCTGCAAAAGTCTGATTTTGTCATGCTAGTGGTAAACCTGTCACCACAGACACACAAATTGATAGGGGCCAGGGAGCTGAGCCTGATGAAGCCCACCAGCACACTCATCAACATCAGCAGAGGTAGGTGCTTGAATGAAAAACACAAAAAGACAGAACCCTTCAAAAATGCACATTTTCAGGTTTTGGTAGTGTTATCAGGAATTGAAAAGAAACATTAAATAGCACATTCAGATTTCATTTTTTAAGCATAACATAGCACAGTCTTGACTGTGGATATTTTACAAACTTCTGGAAGGAAGTCAGTACTGTGGGAAACAATAACAATAAGCTGCATTATGAAAAATGTATTACAGTATTTGTTTGTGGTTGGTATTTCTAAACAATTCTTTGACCGACAAAGACAACTTCCCATGCAAAGCTACCAGCACCACATAACTGAGCAAAATAATTAAAATGAGTTTTGCTCCAAAAAGTCAGTGGCAGATATTTCCGTGGCAAAATAAGGACAATAATTAGCCAAATGGCAGCTTATTTACCCCATGTCAAATGGGACTACTTCTGTGACAAAGAGAAGCAGATGTTTTGTGCTTTAGTGTAATTGGGTATCTTCCTAGGGTCTGAGTTGGACCTGAGCAACAGATGGACAGGTGAATGTATCATAGGAGCTTGTATTGTAAACCTGTCTTCATTCACACTTCACAGCAACAGGAGCTGTTACAGGAAGGCTGAGTCTCATTAATTGGTCATTCCAAAGTGGTTGGGTATATAATCATTGACTACTTAAATAAACATTCATTAAAATTGAGATTTATTAAAAGTAATTCAAATTAAACTGACTTCAACAGGTGTAATCATACCCCTCTGTGGATGCCACAGGCAGTTTGTTAGTCCTCGTGCTGATGTGAAGAAATAATTCAGTAATCATCTAATAATAAGAGGGAAACAGAAGCTGTCAGGGGACAATAGTTTTATTACTCCTTTTCATGTGCTCTCGCATACGGCCTAGTTTCCATATGTAAAAATTAGTGTTTTAACTGGCATGTTTTCCAGTTGGCTGGTTTAAGTTATGTATTGTTAAAGACAAACATGTTCTCCTTCTTGGCCGAAGGCTTGGTGGTGGACCAGGATGCCCTGGTAGATGCGCTTCAGAAAGGAGTGATTGGAGCTGCAGCTCTGGATGTCACTTACCCTGAACCTCTGCCAAGGTCAGTCTGTGCAAATCACCCCCTGTCATTGCTCTGTCATTGTAGCCCACAGTTCTTTTCTGTTCCCTGCTTAACCAGGGGCTGTGGCGGCACTGGAGGTTAAGTCTGCAGCTTCACAGTTCTTGTGTCCAGAGTTCAGTTTCAGTGTGGCCTGCCTTCTGTGTGGTTTGTGCATGTTGTTTTTGGATTTGTCAGAGTTTTTTCTGAGTGCTCCTTCCTGAGTGATGACCCTGGTATTTCAACTGTGATCAATATATATGTTGCCTTGGTCAGGGTGACTGATTTACTTGCGCAGCTCAGCTTCCTCAGCCAGTGTTGTCTTCTCTGTATAGCAAGAATTTGATGGTGACAGGCAGTTTATTGATTCGTAATCGTAAGCGGAGTTTAAGTGTTCTTATCTGGAAAGCCAAATCGGGGAAGAGGACCACCTTAAAGGGGCAACTAGTGACACAGAATGAACATTTCAAAAGTTAGTGGCAATATCACAGCCTGTGGAGCGATACCTAGTGACATCAACATATTGTGCTGCGGTTCTTTGCCTCTATAGAGATCACCCCTTGCTCGGGCTTGAGAATGTCATTGTGCTGCCGCACATGGGAACCCATACTTTTGAGACAACCCAGAAGATGGTGGAGAGAATGGTCACTAATGCCCTGGCTGTCCTCAGCGGAAACTCAGCCCCTGATGAGATGCAGTCATAATGCCAGGGGTGGGAAGGGTTCTGCGTTGGATCTGGAGTTTCAGGAACCCAACACTCAAGAACTGGACCTGCCTAGCACAGCACTGGAAATAACCTGACACTGTGTTCTTCTTGTACTGTAACTATGCAAGTTCTCTGGGAGTTGGAGAACAGGCCTGTCTACAATCACATGTATCTCATCAGTTATAGATGTGTTATAGACATGTTATAGATGTGTAATGGACACAACTGTTCACCTGAGCACAACTGTGGGTGGCTCCCTTGTTATTGGTAGTTAAAGCTGATTTCAGGATGGTTTCAACAGTTGTGAAAATCTCAAAGGATAAAATGACTCTATGACATTGCCTGAAAGCACAGTGAAATCCTAATAATAGTATGTTTTTTTTTCTGTTTCTCTCTCATACAGGTTTTATGCTTATGGTTTTAAATAATAATCCTAGTGTAAAAAGGTTAACATAAATTTAAAGATAAACTACAAATTGGAATGACTAATATCTGTGTGTTTAAAAAATTAAGATTCATTCATATTTTACATGAAATGTATAGTATGTATGTGCAAAGTCACAGCGTCTCTATTCAGGAGTTGACGCTCTTGAGTAAAGTAATAACAGTGTGGTGCAAGCACTTGTTGGGTGCATTAAGATTTCAGTTTTCCTCTTTGTCGAATTCCTGGGAAATTATGCAGGAACAAATGTTGTCCACTAGAGGGGAGTCTGAGCCACTTGTACACAATTGTAGACCGTCTGATTCCGTACATTCGCTTTTACTTTTCTAATGATTTTCTATGCTATTCATACTCTTCGCAATACATTTTGTCTTTTACTTTGGTTTATCTGTATGTCTAACGTGCACCTGAAGATTATATACTTTATTTCCACAAAATACCTCAGATTAAATTCTATGTCAATAATTTATTATTATAACATATTATAACATCACCAAAAATGTTAGGATATTTTCTTAAATGTACATTGTAAATCAACATAAATAAAAATGTTAAAACTTTTGTCTTGCATGTTTTTCTGCGATGACATGTCAAAGTGTTTCATATTGTGAATTATTATTGCAACTCTACTGCAGACATTCTAGGTCCTGACCGGTTAAGTGAATAAAAAACTCAGAATGAAAACCTGCTTTAAGGAACAGAGTATCACTGTCCTATGTTCCTCTTGTTTTTCATGTTAAACAAGGATGAAAAAAAGAACTATGAACTGTCAGAGTAAACTTTATAACTCATTCATATACACACGTCCCTGTACGTTCCACACCATTTTTTTTGTAAATAGTTAAATCAGTAGAAATCGTATTTGCCACTTGCAATAACTGAAAAAAAAAATTGATGAAGGTTGATTTATTTTGGATTTTGGAAGTGAATAGTAGTGTTACAGGGTGAATGATCCCAATACATGTCTGTGATCCTATGAAAAGTGGCTGTTTGTCCACATCAATCATTTGAGAAACAATGTTTTCATTAATAATGAATAGGAGAGCTTTCAGTGACATTACCACAGTTAAGTATCATTAGGTGTTACTGCCTCAGGGTCACTGCATGGAACAGGTGAAGCTGTCACACTGTGAGTGGCAGGGAGGAGGTGTCCAGAGACAAAGAGACAGCTGTCAGACTTGTCTCTGTGCTGACAGGGAGCAGTAACCATGGAGACAGCTATGGCCTCTGTTGGCCAAGCCTCCTGAGACCCCACACAGACTGACCTGGCTCTGTTTTGAGTGGTGCAGCATTAAAAACATAAAATATGCTGCAAAATACCTCAATAACAAAACAAAAGAGTGCCTGAATGAAGATTTATAGATTTATAGTAGTAGGAAGAGAAGGCTTTGAGCAGTCTGTCCCATGATACACTTTAACTTCATTCCCAAAACATCACATTTGTTATTGGCAGCTCCCTCTAAAAATAAATGAATTAAGGATATATCATATTACCAAAGTGGGTCCACAGAGTGTCATGCTATAAAATGAGGTGACTTTGAACATATTTTAAGTGCTTTCCTTAAATTGTGAAATAGTTTACTCAGGTATCATGGTGGCAAGACAGTTAGCACTGTTGTCTTACAACTCGAGGGTTCAATTCTGGACTCCTTCTGTGTGGATTTGACATGTTCCTCTGATGCTATCCTTTCTTTTCTCCTTCTAAAAACTTTCTGCTTGGGTTGTTCCTGCACACTTATCTATGTGTTTTCCCTGCACTAATCTAGCCTCCCGTCCAGAGTGAATAAGCAGCTTTCTGACACTGCAGATTCATCCGCAACTGTTTTCAGCAAACATAACATAAATAACTTTTATTCTAGGAGTAACTTACACGCCCGTCCCCCCTTCATAACATCACAAAAGTCCTACCCCCTACCGGTCCTAATTCCTAACGTCGTCAAAGTGTGATCATTGCATTGCGTTACTGTGTACTTTTCTCAAACTTTCAGCTTTACGGCAAAGCTAGTACAACAGGCCTATTTTACAAATCTCAATGCGTCCGCCGATCGCTTTAGATGCTATTTTGAATACATCCCTCTGTGTACAAGACACAAACTATATTTTGGTTAAAAAAAAAAGTAACTTCTTCCAAAACTTCCGCTGAGGGCGCGCACAGTCCTGAAACAACCGCGTCCTCTGCTGCGGCGGAGGATACACAGCCCTCCGCCACAAGAGCAGACAGATTTGGGGAGTGTTTGTATCCTTGCTGGGGCGCGGTGATGTCATCGCAAACTTCACTCACTCCCCCATTCAGAGGCAGTGAGTTCTACTGCTCTTCATTTCGGCTTTCCTGAAACACAGGCGAGCTAGCAACCGAGTGCTACGGATCCTCGGGATACAGTCAACGGAGAAACTTTCAACTTTCTTTTCTTCCGCTCACCACACAGGACAGAGGAATTCACTGACAGATCTGCAAGCCCTGGTTTCCGAGGGCGAGTGGGAACTTCTGAAAGTAACCAAAACAATGAACAGGAGTTTTAATAAATCCCAGTCCTTACGATACTTGGACTGCACGGCTGTTGAAGTAAAAAGCAAGGTAAGGATTTGTTTTATCGTGGCGGGGGTACCTCTATTTAGTTAAACTCCTTATTTACTCGTCTCTTAATTTGTGGATGCTGCAAACGATTGAGATCTTTAATTGCAAATGAGTTCGCTCGCGCTTACTAAAGTGCAATTTGGAATTGCGCATTCCTGTGTTTTCGAAACCAATTACCAGTTGGTAAATGTTTGCAATCCATCTCGGTTAAATGCTCTCCCTCCCTTTTTAGAAATCTTTGCGGTTTTTGCTGAGCTCTTACTGCGCTTTAGTGATGTGGAGTGCGAAAAACGCACGCTAGGCAGAATCCGTGTTTAAACAGCCAAGCTGGGACCTGGATGAATTTGCACGCACAAGCGAAGGATTTCGCCTGGTAGCGAACGAGATGGCAGATCCATGGACACTGAGCTCCCACGATTTTCAGGAAAAACTGGAAATGAAAAGGCTACAAGGAAAGGGCCGAATAAAACACGTATCACCCCCACCCCCAAAGAAACCCCGCTACGCCTTTCTATTCAGAAACGAAGATAACTGCCGTGACTTGTTGCCGGAGGAGCAAATCCAGCGTGCTCTGTGACTCAGACTGGGGGTTTAATTCGATAAATGTTTTTTTACGATTTGGCTGCTTGAACTTGCTTATGCCCAGTGACTCATCTCTCGGAGCGGTCTTTGTCAACCACCTGTATTCATTCTTTGGCCGTATTGTCCAACTTCTCAGGCGGATTCCAAGAAACTAGGCTATCTTGTCTGGCTGTAATTAGGCGTCCTGTTGCTAAGCTATGGTGTTAAGATATGTATTGCTTCTCGACATAATGCTTAATATTGCTAACACACTATCCCAGAACTGGGTAGATCAATTTCCTAATTGTGATGTTCTTTGGAAAGTTGCCTTTAACTTTCGAACCCCCCCCAAAAAAAAGAACTAGCGTTTTGCTGTTCTCGTGGGTCACACGAGCCGCCATTAATAATTATATCTATACCTTCATACCTGCGTCGAAACCACGTTGAGTTGGAAATGCGCTGCAATCCACTGTTTGTTTCAGAGCTTTGTCGCTTTAACAGCTCTTGAAGGGATTATTATTCACACAGTACATGCGTTCGGAAGCTTAAATTTTTAGTTTATTTAAGCCATAATTAAAGGAAAAGTATCATGTTGTCTTATCAGGTATGTAGCTGATGTTGTAAACATGCCGTGACAAAGCTCTGCACATAGCTCTATAAGGGCTAGGAGTGTTACAATTAATTGTGATCATTTAGGCGCAGTGTTTGGATGAACATGCTTTTTCTTGTTGCCCAGCTATTCTAAAGGTAGAATTAAGCAACGTGACTTTTTTCCCAGTGAATAATATTTTGACACAATTCCTTGCGTTTAGCTTTACACTTCTCATTCCACAATTCTTTTGTGGGGAAGACGACCCACTTCATCAGAAGTACGGGCCCCATATTATGATTGACATGTCTCTGCCGTTCAGCACCAGCACCCCCCCGACACAGCAGGTCCAGTGTCGATGTGAGGAATTGCTTATTCCATTGAATTACAGAGGACTGTAAGGAAAGCCTGATTGTTGAAGCCTGGAGTGAAATTTAGCCAGGATGCTAGTCAACACCCCTATTCTTCCAGTAAGCGCCATGGGCTCTTTATGTAGCCCGTTTAATGTCTTATTTCTGCAGCACAGTTTCCTTACTGGGGCATTAATCTTGTAAGTCTTGGTGTGGGATGTAATTATTACAGTCTGCACGTGAAGCAGAGGTTGCAGTAGTACTTAGTGACGTCTTTGTCTAAGCAGCAGTAGTTATTTAAGGAGCAAGAGTGTTGGTAGATTTGTATCTCCAGAGCCATAAATACCATTTGATTAGCATAAAGGCATATTGCTAAAGAAATATCTAGAAGGTGAGGTTTATAGCATGGGAATGTAGATTTTGCCACAGTGCATTGAAACCTAGGTAGGTTTCAGAAGATGAAGAGCAACAGTCTTATCAGTCACTTTATTGTCTTGAATTGATCATTCTGAATAGCATCAGTTCAGATACTCTTCAAGCAGGAGACTGGAACTAATAGCTGGCTGGCTTCTCTTGCCCCTGTGTACTGTAGCGCCCACAGTTGTCCCACACTCTGCAGAAAGTGCTTCACACCTGCCTTTGCCCCATGTTGTGACCGCAGGGTTGAATTCATGACTACCTGCACCCTGAGCTAAAGTGTATCCCCTTGGTTGACTGATCTTTTGAGCTTTGGACAGCATCATGAATATGGTTGTTGTCACTCCACATTTGTTGGCAATTTGAATTAAAGGAAACAAAAAGCCCTTGGCAAAGATCATAAGAAACAATATGTAAGCCATTGTAAAGCTCTCCAGACGTTTTTTTTAACAACACAGATTAAATGAAAATAATTAAATTCCTAACTAGCGTCATTTAAGGGAGCTGTGATTTCTAAAAAGCTATTTTGCACATTTTTGAGATTCATATGCCATTTTTAAAAGATAACTTTGTTTATATGTCTGTGTGCTTTTGCCTTTCTTCATTCACTTCCAGTCCGTAAACCCCCAGGGCTTTTTGTCCAGCTGAGCCAGCCCAGCTCCACTGCTTTTGCACTGAAAGTCCAGCATGAAACAACTGCAAACAGGCTCAGGACTTGGTTTTTGCTTCAGGGAATATAGAGCTTTGTGGGTTGAATGGACCTTTCTAATTTGTATGTTCTTATTATATCTAAAAATCTGGCTCCCACTACCGCAGGTCAACAGGTTTAAAAATCTTTAAATAGTGTTGCAACAGCAGGATGAAGGACCTCATTGATAAGGGACATTAAGGATTCTGCCAGACCGTTCGTATTGTTTCAGTGGGATAAATTATGCAGCATGCAGTTCTTTATAATGTGGACTAAAATTCTGATTGAGTTACTGTGGTGAAAGAAAGCTCTGTCTTTTCTTAGGCTTTCTGCACGATGCCCTTGGGTTATTGTATTCTGAAATTAGGAGATGCGATGCCAAATTAACAAAGCTGTGCTGTTGGTAATCTTCATGTTCAGAATTCATAATTAAGTAAAGCTTTTTTTAACACTCTTTTGAAGACGATGCCAAACTATTTTCTTTCATGAAATCTGTTAAATATTTCCGAGGATATCATGAGTAAAACCTCCAATGCTTTGGAGTTGTGAACAGGTTCATGATCAGAGCATTTTAAAAACTTACGGGAGAAGAATGATCGCCCAGTGGGATTTGGGTTAAGGAGAAAATGTTTTGAAATATTTAGAAAAAGAAATATTTAGAATATACAGTACTACAAGTAGGCATTTAAATATTGTGTTTTGGGCCCAGTGATCATGTCACTTGTTCCATAACAGCGCAACATAAGTGAAATGTGGAATGTATGGGGTTCAAACGCACAACCTTGGTATTATTATGCACTAACGATTCAATAATACTTGTTTTGCGTCCAGGTAGCTATGTTTTACACACGCAGAGGCTTAGAAAGTAATATATAAACAAACATTACGTTGAAAATAAATATAACATTGCACAAAAGACATCATGCCCTACGTAGTCATTACACACCACTCCTACAGAAGTCCACACAGCTTACTAGAAACTGTAAGTGTACTCCCCACACAACCGCCCTAAGCCCCTATAATTGTACATTACCTCTTCATTTTGCACATAACCACAGATTGCACTTGCCCATAACCAAGCATATAAGCCTCACACTCTAACCAGCTAAGCTAACCCACCACTCCACTGTTTGTGTCACAATTGCTTTTTTGTGTGATGAGAATGTCATTTGGGCTGTGGATGTCCTACTCGCCAGTTTTGGGTCCCACTGAACATTCGTGTGATGAGCTGAGACAGTGTGTGGCATGGGGGTCATTGTGCTTTGTCAGACTCGGAGACGAATGGGACAGAATCCCACAAGACAGCGTCTGCCACTTGATGTGCAGCAGGTATCGCAGATTTACAGCTTAATAATGATTCTAACAGTGGCCACTTCCTTGCCGATCTGTGCCATTCAGAGTAAGCCCTCTGTTGAAATTGAATGTTAAGCATCATAATGAATTTACCTGTCAGATCTGCTTCTTTATTGGTTCAATAACAGGACACAATGTAGTTGGGTTTATCAGTATTGACAAGAACAAGTATCGGGCAGAAAAAATTGAATCGCACAACTGAAACCCCCCGCGGACACAAGGGTGGACAGTATCAGCTCATTCTGCAGATCTGTTTTCCAGAGAAGGAAGCAGACAGGCGCCCAAAGTCAGTAGTTATTCTACAAAGATACCATTTCTTTAAAGGTACTACATCTTAAACTGAAAGATATTTTTACAATTGGTGATTTGTAAATTAACTTAACCCACTGAAGCAGTAGGTTGCCAAAAGTGCCAGTTAATCAAGGAGGGATTAATCGCACTGCAGTGGACTGGTGTCCGGTCCAGGGTGTATCCTGCCTTGCACCTATTGATTGCTGGGATAGTCTCCAGCTCCCCCATAAGTCTGAATTGGATAAAGAAATTAGAAAATAGATGTTTGGAGAAGAGTGTGAGAAACAGATGAAGAATCTTTGGTTTGAACAGATGAATGTTGAGGGCTCCAAAGGAAAACTCTTTTTACCCAGGGAACACCCCTAACGTATGACACTGTAAAGGGGTTACGTTTTATTTTTAAACGCGTTTTCAAATTTTTGCACGACTGGACTATTTCTAATCAAAATCCAATTGAATCGTACAGCTATTATAAACAATAACACTGTTAATAATTCAATATTAAGAACAGAATTTTACAAAAAGCCCGTTTGAAAAGGTATTTATAGCCCTGTTTGCCATTCATAGCCAGGGTTACACTGCTTATTCAGGTATAAGCAGGCTTTGTCTTGTTGGAAAGACACGTGGGGCTTGATTGCTTGAGCACCATGACCCTACTGCCTCTAGTTCATATTGAGATCTTTGTACAAAACCGGATCATGGGGTCAAAACAGATAGTGGTCATTTTGCAAACTAACAGGATTTTGAATTA